ACTTGCTAATTAGGTCATCAGCAACCATTAGCTGGGTGGAGATGCTTGCACCAATTATAACGAATGACATCTGATTATGACATTTTCACCAACCAACTTCTGTCTGAAGACCTGGCCTCGATTCCTCCTTCTTATCAAGCACTGAGTCCAGGAAAGGAGCTGTTATTGGGGTGCCTCACTCCCTATGCCCCTTTAAGTGGTGTGACTGGTTTTCCATCAAACCACTATCTCATTTCCATTTTCTCATAAAGATACTTCTCTGAACTTTGAGGGAGATTCAAAGAATTGGAAGTACTAACTGTCAGCGCTAGAAGAGGCCCTTAGTGATCGTTTCATCCAACTTCCTCATTTCATAGAGGAGGAAATTGAGGCCCAAAGAGGCGAAGTGGCTTATCCAATGTTATAAAAAGAATTGTGGCAGTGCTGGGATAAGAACAGAAGTGGGAGAAGCTGGGAGACAATAGTCATTTGCAAAGTCAGGTTACACTTTTTCATAATTTTATCCATAAATAAAACCTTCTCTCATTGCATTTTATTTTACAGCTATAAAATTTCAAACCATGAGAATCCCTAGTACTTTTCACCTGCGAAAGCCCCGATCTTAGCACACCACTGGCTGTTGCTCGCCCTACACCTACCAGGCAGTTTAGATCAGTCATCTCGTTGTTCAGATAAGAGAAGCATCACATGTTAAGTGACTAACACAGTGCCCAGCGCACAGAGGCCCTCAATAAATGAAAGACAATTCCCTATGTCCTTCCCTGTAGGTGTCAAGAATAGTTTTGAGTCATTTTTCTTATGAGTATTTAATAATATTGGCCATACATTCATATACAACATATATAATAGGATACAAAAATTTAGATGTATATAACTATATTTTTATTTATTAATTTTGGGAAATATTATGAAGTCTGTCTGTATGTATTAGCCTTACTTGTCAGTAATTTTTGTATGGGCATTTTCCTGAAAGAGAAAACATCATTGAAAACCTTCCTATACTGGGAATTGGGGCTAGATTCTACTCAGAAGATTTTTCTATTTCAGAAAAATTCTGTGGAATCAGAGTCATCCTAGATCCCAGGAGAGCAGCATCTTGGCCTGTCCAAGGAAACTTCCCAGTGTCCCACAGGTTTGGTTCCGTGTTCTGGACTTGCCATTCTCTTTAAATCGTTCTTAGTTAAGTCCTCTATAAATGTTGTAGAGGGACCAGGAGTCAGAAAATCTGGATTATTTTACACGAGAAATGGCACATCAAGATTTTTTAAGTTATAGATAACAGGATATGGTAGAACTTTTGATTAGCCTAAAATGTCCTGAAACTGAATATTCTGAACTTTTCTAACCCATCAGTTTTAGAGATAAGAGCATCAGCATTGTGCAACCTGAAGGTCACTGTGCTGGGCGACAAAGAGCACCCGACACTGGCGCTTGAAGGTACCTTACCCAAGCTGACACTTTTTTTTTTTTGCTGAGGAAGTTTCACTCTAAGCTGACATCTGTTGCCAATCTTCATCTTTTTTTTATGTGAGCTGCCGCCACAGCATGACCACTGACAGACAAGTGGTGTAGGTGTGTGCCCAGGAACGGAACCCCGGCCACCGAAGCAGACCGTGCCAAACTTAACCACTGGGTCACTGGGGCTGGCCCCCCAAGCTGACATTTGATAGCTGTGCAGACTAGACCCAGAGAAGGGTAGCTACACATGGCAGGGCTAGGAGAGAACCAGGTAAACTAATGCTACTGGGCAATTATTTTAGATTATCCCTGATAGGCTCTAAAAGTATGAATTTCTTTCTGCGGAGAAAAATAAACCTTAATAGGCACAAATTACATGGTATCACTTGCCTACTTGAAACCTTGCAACAGCTCCCTTTGACTCCATGGATATCTCCACTGACACCATCTGTAGCAGGACCCCACCCTCCTGCCCCTTCTGCCTCATCTTTCGCTCTCTCCCATCAGCTCCTTACTCTTGTCAGGCTTCTTTCTCCCACAGAGCCCTTCTCTGTGCTCTTGCCTCTGTCTGGAGGTCTTCCCTCACTGCTCTATGATAAACTCCTATTCAACACTGGGATGGAGCTGCACTTTCTGAGAGAAGTCTTTTCTGATCTCCCTGACCAGGTAAAATTTGCATATTGCAGGCGGTCAAGACACCTAGTACCCCTCCTTCATAGCTGTTCATCTTTATACCTATTTACTGGATTATTTGATTGTTTATTCTCCCTCTCTGCTATAAACTCCAATACAATAGAGCTGGTGCCTGGAACAAAACAGATGTTCAATAACCATTATTAAATGAACAAATGAAAATCAGACATAAAAGTTACTTCTAGACCTTCCAGACTGGCCGAGTTAATGAAGGCTCCTCAAGTCCTGGTGTCAGGCCACTCAGTCCCCTGAGGCCTGTGTAAGGGGGGCTCCACTGCCTTGTGTTGGGGTGCACTGGGTGGTGCTCCTGGGTGCAAACTCTGGATGCCTTGAAAGCCTAGTTTCCATCAGCTGCTGCTTCTCTTTACATCTTCTTTTCCGCATATACACCTAACACACAAACAGGGCTCTTCCAAAGGTTCTGGAGTTATAGAAAGATATTTCTGTTCCACTCCATCTTATGCCTCCAAATTTAGCCCCCTCTTTCATGGGGATCAGGGACTTCGATTTACTTGTTTTCAACATTACATTAACTTTCTGGGGTCTAGGTGGTGGTTATACCGTTGTGTTCGTTAAGTGATACACTTATGATTTATTTGCTTTTCTGTAAGTGTGTTATATTTCAAAATAAAGGTTTAAAACATGTTTAAAAAGGCCTTAATAGCAACTAATATAATAACAAGAGAGAGACAGAGTTAGAGAAAGAGAGAAAGACAGAGGGAGATAGCGGGACAGAGAAAGAAAGAGAGAGAGAAATCAAAATATATATCATAAAAAGCAATAAGGGGTGGTTAAATAAATCGTTGACTAGCCACACTATGGAAATGTTAGAAAACAAACAACAAAAAGATCGAGATACAATTACACGCACTAAACAAAATTGATATTCAATGTACACTTATTAAACGAAAACAGTTCATCATAGAGCAATATATGTTGTGATCCTATATAATAAGAAGGGGAAATCTTTAATATAGGTAATCATTTGAGATTTATCAATGCGTGTGTTTCCCCCTGTCTTTCCTTCTACTCACACCCCCTACCAAAGAGAATTATGTGTTTGCCTTTTAAGCTTTCTAATCCCTCCCTCCTCCCTATACAAGCCCAACAGTATGGGTTAGAGAGAGAGTTATAACAGCTGGAGGAAAAAAGAGAGGTTTTTGCTCCTCTGGAACGGAGAATCCCAGGATCAGGTAAAGTATAGAGAAAACTAACAAAGGAGCCAGGGATATTCAGGCTGCACCTCCAGGAGCAGGCCTGAGTCAGGTGGGGGAGAGCAGAGGAGGGGCAAGGCGAGAAACAACTGAAAGAAGCCACCATGTCTTAATGTTAGACAGCATTTGGGGCCTTTAGCAACAGGCCCCTGAGCAACTGTGGGATATGGGAGAATTGAACATGAGAGAAAATGGGATTTTTAGAAGTGTGTTATGGATTATGAAGTGGATTCCCTGCAATGTTTTTGATACATCAGTGCTGGGCTGGGGCTTTTTAGATGCCATTCTCTGCAGAAACTAGACCACAGCGGACTTCTGGAATTTTTTTTAGCCCTGTGTGGTTTATGTATACACAATACACAAAGGCCTAGATGGATATAGCCCAAACTCAGTACAGTCATCCTTGGAAAAGAGTGTAGAATTAGAAGTTGAAAGGTAACTTTTATTTCTTATCCATAAATTTCTGTACTATTAAAATTTTAACATAGCTCGTGCTATTTATCTAATTTTCAAATAATAAACTTAAAAAAGCATTACACGCTCAGGTTAATTGCAGAATAAGCAGCACTCGACTTCCCACATCGCAGGCGTCACTTGGTGATACAAGAGGGAAGCGTGGTCCTCGGCAAGGCTGTTCCCAGCTCTGAGTGGGTGTCCAGTGACTGGGCTGCAAGTTTATGGGGTTTGGATGGAGGGATGGAGTATGATTTGTGGAGCCACATGTGATTAAGATGTTCAAAGGCAGATGACTTTCTGTGAGTGCCCCAGGGTGACTCAACAGAGCTTGCTTGGAAACAAACATGAGATTCCCTGCTCTTGTTCATCCATTTGTTTATGCATTCATCAAATATGTTGTCTCCTATGTTCATGCCCCAGACCTTGTGGGGTTGCTTTGAATGGTACTTATCTCTCTACCTATTTTTTTAGTGTTGGGGTTTAGAGTCTCTAGTTATAAAAATCCACCCCAAACCCTTCAGAATTAGCAAAGCAATGGAGAAAGAAGAGCTAATGAGGAAGGGTGCCTGGCCTTAAGACCCAGATGCTTGTCCCATGAGGCTCACCTTCCTCTTGGAAACCTCTCACTCACTACCAGGCCTGTCTCCCTAGGGCTGACATGAGGAATGTCTACCTGCTTCAGGGGAGTCCTAGCCTCTTCCCTCAGGCCTTTACCCTAGGTCAAGCCCATCAGATGAGAAAATGTAATCCATAAAGTCACCATGGGTTCAAACCACTCTCACAGCAGCAAGGACATCATTCAGTGATGCTCCTGAGCAGATCTGATTTCACAATCCCTTCAACAACTGGGAAGATGAACTCTGAGTTTACATAGAGCAAGCATGCTACCATGAGAACCTCGTCATGGCCAAACACTCTCCTCAGACTGACCAGAGGGCAGGAAAGAGGCATCTCACAACTCCAAAATCTCCAGCCTCTGATCCTGCTAACTTGCATAGGGAAGTTTATTCACAGCATCCTAGAACACACAGGGATCCCAGGCTGGGATTTTACCAGCTCAGTCTGCTGGTTCAAGTCCACGCAGACCCTTCTTCTTGTTGAGAGGAAAAAGTAAGAGATGAAGGCAGAAGAATTTCTGACAGAAAAGCATAAATATGGACCAAATAAACAGACAGGAAATCACTGTACATTGCATTCAGAGCTTTATTCTTGCCAAAGTTTGGGGGTTGCACTAACTCTGGCAGGCTGCCTTAATAAAGAAGCAAAGTACAGAGGTGAAGCAAGGAGGTTCTATATCACTGGGAATACAGGGAGGGGGCCAGAGGCAGATGAATGTGCCGGAAGGTAGAGCAGGGCAGTGAATTCTTGAGCAGGGCTGTTCTGTACTTAGCAGCAGTCTTCCTCAGAATCACAGCATGCAGGACCACGGGAACTCATGGGAATAATTCCCAACCAGCAGCACCCGGAATCCTCATAGCAGCCAGAGGAGCCTGAGTTGCAGTCTTGGGGCTGTTGGACCCAGCGTCTCAGAGGACTCACCCCGAAGGTCCGGGGAGCCAGGCAGCAGTAGCTAGTAGAACAGGGAGCAGAACACGGATTAGGGACACAGTCCTGTGCAACCGAGCCACTTGTGGGGGCCTGAACGTAGTAGGTCTGGCAAGGAGAAGGGCACTGGACATAGCATGTCTGGGTCTGGCATGGAGCTGGACATTTTACATAGGTCGTCTGGCACGGAACTGGGCACTTCACATACGTCTGACAAGGAGTTGCACATTTCACGCAGGTTTGAGTCTGGCATGGAACTTGGCATTTCACGTAGGTTTGAGTTGGGCATGGAGCTGGACATTTCACGTAGGTTTGAGTCTGGCATGGAGCTGGGCATTTCACGCAGGTTTGAGTTGGGCATGGAACTGGACATTTCACGTAGGTTTGA